TATATATATATAATACTGACGAAGACCTGGACTTATGATTACTTGACATTTTTCATCGCTGACATAAAAGAGATACGTAATCAGTACTTGTAGATAAAGTTGTTCAATCTACCGTTAAGCAGCGGAATCAGTAAAAGCACTAATCCAATCGGAAAAAAATTTTTGATAAAAGAAGTATATACAAATTTTTGAATCTAATATTGCCTTTCTTCTTGAAAGAATACAGCAACATGTGTTCAGGACAACTAAAAATGAGTTTTCACAGTTTAACAAGTTCAGACTTGAACAAAACGTAGTTTGAATGATTGTATTTTAGTTAATATCGACCAAACAAGATTATAGCTACCAAATCAAGAAATAAAAAAGCAAAAAAATACTCTTTTCTAATTATTGCAGCAAATTTTCCTTTGCCACCAAGCCTAATTTCAGAAGTCTCCAAGAACATCAAATCGTTACATTTTACGTAGTCTTCAAATGGAGCTTCAAGTTGAAATGTTTCATTTTTCACTTCTTAACGGTGTTAATTCCTGTAGAAGATCCTTCAGTCACTAAGAAGTGCAGATGTACAAACTCAGTCGGTCGCAAATAACCTAACATTTCTAAAATTATCTGTTTCTATAAAATTGTTTTTCAAGCATATACCAGATGATAAACACTGCTGATTCCTTTCTACAGAGCAGAACTTTGCAACGCCATATGCTATCTATACACGAGTACAGGTTTATTCCCCAGTTTGCTATAGTATCTTTAACATCCGATACAGCTGCAGCAACCTAAAAACCCTCTAAAACATAAATCTTAACGGAGAGTAAGTCATAAATAAAGGAAACTGAAAAAGCACCTTTCTCAGATAAAACACTAGGAAATCACAACATCCGATTATCTTGATCGTTTCAGCAATTACAACGACGAAAGATTTATCTTCGGACCAAAGCCAGGAAAGTCTTTGATTCGCTTCAGTATGAATGAGCAGTCACACAAAGAAAAAAAAATGATGCAAAATGCCAAATAAGGGTTAGACTGAATAACTCCAGCCTGTGAGTTAGTAACCTTGCGAGCTACACGGACAATACCATTCGTCAAATTTCTGCAGTCCTACACTTATTCTGAATAAGCACTTAATAAGTGCCAATAATTACAAAACCAAGTGAAACTAACAAAAATCACTACGGCTTTCCTTCACAGCAACTGTTATAACTTTGTTACCAGAACTTTCTAGAAATTGAAGCCATTAATTCACTAATTATTCGTCAACAACATAATTACAAACACCACTTAATTTTTTTTCTATTTAATACTGCTTAAACTGCAGCAACTAATTAGAATTAGACAACTTTACCAGGCGCCCGATTCCCTAAAAACTTTGCAACAGATGGTACTCCAGGCGACAAGCCATCCTCAGGAGGTCTCAAGCAATATGGCCCACCTCCAACAGATCCACCACAAAAAATCGTCCAAATGTAAATGTGAAGCTGCCTTGTACGAAATGAATAGAATCTACAAACACATTATCCAGCTTTAACATTACTCCACTGACCTTCCTGCTCCAAATCACGACGTACCACCAACAGTTAAACCTCTACGAAACTAAAAACACCAACGTAGCGAAACACCACAAAGAAACCCATCAGTGCAAACACTCACAACTCAACGCCTCTAATTCGTAACATACCAACTGAGCTGTTATTGAAGCGCCTCAACAAATCCACGCGCAAAGATCCAATTCTCAGCTTCTCCAGCTGTATTCTTAAACAACTTGTCAACTTTAATCAAACCTGTTCCAGCAACCTCACCACTATAAAATCAGTTAATCACCACTAAGTAATAGTAAAAATTTGTATTACTGATCAAATTTACAGATTGCGATCAAAATTACGCAAAACATTTAGCAATATGACGAATCTCACAGTCCTCACAGACAGAAAGCAGCAATCACCAAACAAAAAGTTTCTTGCGAAAAACAACATAAGTTATTGTCAAGAGCCAATTAAGACCGCCAAAATGACGAAGAAGTATCACCGAATATTCAAAAAATGGAAAATAAAAGTAAAAGATTAAAAAAGAGAAATAGTAAAAAATAAAAAGTGGAAGCGAACACATATATATATAAACGAATAAAGGTATCAAATCAGACATTCAATATATCAGTTCAGAAATCTGACAATAAAAAACTTAGTGAGTTAGATATCTGAGAGTGATTATCACAAGCAGATTCTTAAGAAGAAGTACGAAGACGACGTGGAGGCGGAGGGCGGGAGAAACAAAAATGGAGACCCCAGTCTTTGGAGATCAATTCACTTACAACACTGCTGCCATTTCTTCCCCTCTCTCCCCAACAACCCCCTTCTAAAAATCTTCATTGATGTTTCGTATTACTTAAAACTCCTTCAGAAAAGGCTTTTACGTACCTGTAAAACAGTTCAACACCGATTTTCAGTAAGAACCAGAGATTACCCAAATGTGAATTAACAATTTAAAGTGCCACTAAAAAATAAATAATTTATAATTAGGAGAATAAACACGGTATAAATCCAGCTTGTAACCAAGGGAATAAAACATAAACATGCGACACAATTATACTTTTGAACTATTTCGACAAACGCGCCAAACAAAATTCGCGCTGTTCATTACAAGTTAAATTTAATTATAATGAGTAATGTAAGGTTAAGCAAAGTACCAAATCGGTGGCCCGTTTAAGAACTTCAGCATGTGGCTTAATAAATTATCACAGTACACGTGGACGTTTCATTGGAGTAGAAGTATCATGAATACTGCTTGACCGATGCAAAGTTTCAGGATATGTTACTAACTGTTTTAAAACCGAAGCAGCTAATCCTGGAAGTTCGCTCTCCAGCTCGCTCCACTCCTAAAAAACCAACAAGAAACCAATACCCCAACAAATGCACTCGAACTCATAGATAAGGTCACAAGCATTTTAAAAAACAAGAAATTGTTATATATAAAATTTATATGTAAACAAAAAAAGAAGAAAACTTCACTCCTGTAGAAATAGGGGCATAATAAAATGAATAGGATAATATATTTTCCGTACTTTGCTATCTAAAATAGCTTGACGATGTCTTTGAACAACAATCAAAGCTTTCTTCTTTAATTTTGGAGCTCCGTATAAATCAGCTGCACGTAGACGTTCGCAAACATTCGCCGCACTCATGTCACGCACCAAAACATCTTGGCATTGCAATTTAAGACGATCCAGACAAAACCTTAAAATATTTTTAAAAAGGCTACAACGCTGGTTTAACAATTAAGGACTTCCAGATGACGGTACGGATTTGAAAGTTTCACAAAGCTTATTTTGCTATTACAAACCTATCAGCGGCAGCCATAATGTCCATTGCATTTTTTGCCAAATCAGTGCAACTGTCTTTATATATATACTCCAAAATGGCACAAACAGCTTCCGGGGTTACATCTTCCAAGGTTGCCTTAATTTAACTTCACAGCTGACTACTCTTTTGCAGAACGGCATTCAAAACAAAACGATGGTTAAACAAAAAAAAATTATGTCCTACCTCACCCTTAACACTTTCCTGGTTGGTGTGATTGCGAAACATCCCTTGGAAAAACGGCGAACGTGCAGACAAGATGGCTTTATGACACTTAAAAGAGCGGCGGCCAACATACAAGGTAAAATCAGCAAAATCTCCAGTATCGAATAACTGTCCAATATCACGACCTAAAAACAGATAATTATTACTTTCGGAATACTCAGTTGAAAGTTCCGCCTTTCCTGTAAAACACGACACGTTAAAAAATTGGAAAACAATCTTCCAACTCTGAACCACACAATATTAAAAAATGAATATTATTCCACTACTTAAACTGCGATGAAGGGAACTGAGTGAACCGAAAAAGGGAATCTCTGTAACAGATGCTAAACGTAAGTGGCAGTTAAGGTCAAAGCATACCAAACGCAGAAACTTGGGGTCTAGGAACAGGGGAACAGCTGTCCGCATCTCTGGGAGTGTGAGTGGCTCCATCACTGCTAATATAAAACTCTTCATCTGGCTCAATCTCGCAACTGCTCTGTTCCCCGTAAACTGTCAGTTCAACACCTACCGTTAGTACATCGTCCGGAAGAAAACGGGAAATACGGCTCTAAGCATATGTAGGATGCATTATTTGGTAATTGAAATCAATTTCCCCACAGAACAAAGCGGAATGAAAATGAAAATGAACCTTAAGAGTATCCGTGGAGAAAAACTTAGATGCGGTTACAATACCACCACGATTTATAGTTACAACATTTTTATTCAATGCACATCCTCGAGGACCATCAGTAGTATCAATATAAAAATTCACTCGAAAACGCAATTTTGGTGACGGGCATTCTTAAATTAACAAGAGATACACAATTTTCAAGTAAAATGAACTTTGCTTTAGTGAATCGGCTGAAGCGATCAGCTTTTAAGGTAGAGCTGAGAAACACTTCCAATTCTGAACGGCATAATAGAAAATTGCGTCAAAAACAGAAGTAAACTTCAGCAAACTAACTGATAATCTGAAGGAAAAGAGAAAGATAGCCACGACACTCTTCATCCTTGCCTGAAGGAAACAGCTTCAGACGAAATTTGTAGTCACCCGTAGTGGAACCAAAGTTGCTTAAAAGAAGTGAATACTGTGAAATATGAAATTCTTTTTCAGATATTAAAGCTATCATTAGAACAAAAGCCTTTGAAGTTTTCCATATCTATTCAATTCAATAAAAGCCCTCTTTCTACAGTTCGTAGTAACAAGCTGAATAGAAAGATAGAACTCCTCACATGAGTAACAATTTCGGAAATCATTAGTATTTTGAAAATTCTAAATCCAAAAACGTTGTTAAAAACAAAAGTTAGTTAGAGAAATTAGTGAAGATGAACAATTAAGCAATAAAGTCCAAAAAAAGTACTATATGCAAGCGGAATTCGAGTAACCTTCTGAAAATCCCAAAAGGTCTACAAATTCCATAAACAAAGACTTAATCGTTCCAATCATTTAATAAGTTCCTAAAATGCACTCACTAACGCTAGAAACGCCCTTCCAAGAAAATTTCATCAGTTGAAATCAATAAAACATCTACAAAGTACAAATGAAATTCGACTATTACTTATAAAAAATAACTGTGTAACTGAACCTACTTAGACTCCAGAAAATCCCCTGCATTAGATAATTCCTGTTGAACAGAAAACTGACTTATGCTCCACTTATGCATGAATATCACAGTATCCATACGAGTTGTAGAAGCCGTCACGTAAACACAATTACCTCCTTCAGAGCTTCTAGGTGGGTTACCGTCCTCTTGTGGGGTTGCTGATAACAAACGTTGTGAGAGGTCGTTGTTATAATCCATACCTTTCACAACAGGAAATTCAGCTAGTCAGCGTAGAAACCTAATTAAGAATCAACTGAACAAAAGTCACAAAATTAAGCAAAAGCGTTTAACCTGGAACACCAAAACCGCACGTGGACGTCTCTAATCATGCAAAAAAAATGCAAGGTACCTAAATGAGAAACAAATATTAAAATATCAATCTATATGAAATCAAACTTTAATGTACAATAAACTAACCAGCGACGGTTTGTCAAAGATTTACCACTAAAACAATTCCAAACGAATGTCGGCTTAAGAACTACGACGTCTAAGAATCTTTTCATCTTTTGCTTAATTAGCAAAATAACGTTGCGAGAACAAGGAGCAAAAATAACGTAAAGATTTTAACATACCTTTGCCCCAAGTGATATAGCTGTAATGTTTAATTAAAAACCAATGCAAATAAAATGAAAACTGAAAAATCAACTGTAACGCTGAAGGAAATGTGAGGAAACTTCCTTAGCAAAGTCGCATCTAAAGAACGAATAAACATTTATTTCAGCAAAAAAAAGCATCAAGTTCTGTTAACTGATTGCAAGCATTATTACGACTCTCACTATAATTGATTACAAACCCTAAACAACTCCTCACACAAATGTGATTCTAGATTCTAAATGCACCAAATAAGTGAAGCTAACCATACCTCGATAATGAACTTCAATGCATAAGTAATAAAAAAATTTCCGAATAAGTACGACAACTACTAAACTGCTAAAAACCACCGCTGACATCGTTCAACTTTTTACACCGTCCTCATTGCTAGAACACAACTTGACAGAAAATACCGAAAACAAAAATTTTTTCTTTTTCTTATTGCAATAACAACGCTAAGTATTAACCAAAAGAAAAGGAAATTCTGACACGTATTTATATAGCTAAAATGTCTAACACTTTGCACAGAAAATTTACTTGGCCTCCAATAAATCTTTGATCTTCAATGCGTCTATAGATGACGGCAAAAATTAGGACACCAGTGACAAGACAAGCAGGAACTCTTCTGAGGCTGTTGTGAAAATCGCTCAATCTTAGAGAAGCAACTTAAGTGCAGAACAAAACTAGAATTGTACATTTCCTAATTTATGCTACTCAAAACAAAAGAAAAAAAATCTGTTTAAAAAACCCCAGCAGATCGATGGCTAAAAAAATTTATAACACACACATTTAACGAGCCCCAACATCAAAAACACGGCTTCTTCAAAAACTTCTCTAAAAACACTTTAAACAAACTTACTACCTACACGTCAGGTATACACACCTTACCCACATTGCCTCCTCAAATGATCGACACCTAACAAATCAAGAAACCTCC